TTTTTTTTTTAAAAGTTTTTTTTTATTTTTATGGTTTTTTTAAGGAGTGTTTTTAAAGGAATTTCCTTTTTTTTAAGGAGTTTTTTAAAGGAATTTTTTTTTTTTAAGGGATTTTTAAGGAGTGTTTTTAAAGGAATTTCCTTTTTTTTAAGGAGTTTTTTAAAGGAATTTTTTTTTTAAGGGATTTTAAAAGTTTTTTTAAAGGAATTTCCTTCTTTTTAAGGAGATTTTTAAAGGAATTTCCCTCTTTTTAAGGAGTTTTTTAAAGGAATTTTTTTTTTTTTTAAGGGATTTTAAAGTTTTTTTTTTAAAGGAATTTCCTTCATTTTAAGGAGTTTTTTTAAAGGAATTTCCTTCTTTTTAAGGAGTTTTTTAAAGGAATTTCCTTCTTTTTAAGGAGATTTTTTAAAGGAATTTCCCTCTTTTTAAGGAGTTTTTTAAAGGAATTTCCTTTTTTTTAAGGAGTTATTCAAAGGATTTTTTTTTTTAAGGGATTTTAAAGGGTTTTTTTTAAAGGAATTTCCTTTTTTTTAAGGAATTTCTTAAAGGATTTTTTTTTTAAGGGGTTTTAAAGGTTTTTTTTAAAGGAATTTCCTTCTTTTCAAGGAGTTTTGTAAAGCAATTTCATTTTTTAAAGGAATTGCTTTCTTTTAAAGCAATTTTTACAGGAATTTCCTTCTTTTCAAAGAGTTTTTAAAGATTTCCTTTAAAAAGCTCCTGTAGAAAAAGATCCCTTTAAATAAAAAATCCTTAAAAAAAATTCCTTAAAAAGGGAAATTCCTTTAAAAAAAAAAATCCTCTAAAAAAGGCGATTTCTTGAAAAGTCAGACTTTTTTCCCCCCGCCCCCAAAATGTCTCATCTGTAATTTGATTTTTCTGGCAGAAATGTGAATTTTTTACCTTTTTCTTCTTTGTGACAGGGCAGCCCCGAGGTCTGTCATAAGCAATCCTGACAGGCTCATGCACTGCAAGGCAAACAAACACAAAATTCAGCTGGAAATTTAAATTATTTCAGGAAAAGAACTCCAAAAAATCCGCATTTCAAGCTTAACTCAACGCCTGGACCTAGAACAGAAGCAATAAGAAGAATTAGAACAAGAAAAAAACAGAATTAATTTTAAAAAATTCAATTTATACTCTGAGAATATTGGAAGATGTTTGATATGAACTTTGCTGTCGGCCCAGAACACAAATGATTTGTTCAGCTTCTCCTTTTGCTGCCTCAAACATTTAAAGTCAATTTTGTGTTCATTTTTCTATGGAAAAATGCCATCTTTAAAGCAAGAAAACACCTAAAAAAATCAGGATTTTTGCCCAAATCCCCTTTTATTTTAACACAAAAGTGAAATGTCTCAATGTCCACCCAACTTTGGGCTCCTCAATTCAGCTTCTCCTTTGCCACTTGAATGAAGATTTAAAGTCAATTTTGTGCTCAGTTTTGTATTAAAAAAATGCCATTTTTGAAGCAAAAAACACTTAAAAAATCAGGATTTTTGCCCAAATCTCTTCTATTTTAATACAAAACTGAACCATTTTGATGGGCACCCACCTTTGGGCTCCTCTATGAGGCAGATCCTTTTGGAAGCCGGGATCATCCCCACTTTCAGGGACTTGCTGCTGAATTTTATATTAAAGAAATGCCATTTCTTAAAGCAAGAAAACACCTAAAAATCAGGATTTTTGCCCAAATCCCCTTTTATTTTAATATAAAATTTAAACATCTTGATGGGCACCCACCTTTGGGCTCCTCTATGAGGCAGATCCTTTGCCACTTGAATGAAGATTTAAAGTCAATTTTGTACTCAGTTTTGTATTAAAAAAATGCCATTTTTAAAGCAAGAAAAATGCCTGAAAAATCAGGATTTTTGCCCAAATCTCTTCTATTTTAATACAAAACTGAACCATTTTGATGGGCACCCACCTTTGGGCTCCTCTATGAGGCAGATCCTTTTGGAAGCCGGGATCATCCCCACTTTCAGGGACTTGCTGCTGACTCTTTTGCGGGGGAATCGCGCGCCGGGGGCCGGGTTCGGTGCCTGTGTCGACAGATTTGGGACAGCAGCATCAGAGGGGCTGGAGAGCTGCATTTCACCTCCTGAAATCTCCTCTCCTGCTCTGGAAAGCAAATCTTCCTCTAGGTTTGTCACCCTTCTACCTGCTGCCACGTCCTCCTCATCCTCCTCCTCCTCCTCCTCGTCCCCCAGAGGTTGGGAGGTTTCAAACTCAGCTTCATCCTCTTCTTCTTCTTCTTCTTCTTCTTCTTCTTCTTCCTCTTCCTCGTCTTCGGAGACCTCCAGGGGTCTTGGGGTGGTTTTGGTGCTGTCTGAGGCCTCGGGGCTGAAGCTGATGGAGGGGCAGAGCTCGTAAACCTTCATCCGGTAAAATCTGAACGCGGAGCTGGTTTGGTCCTGGAGGAACCTGGGGTGAGGAAGGTTGGAAATGAAAAAAAAATTATTAATTAAAATGCAGGGAAATGAAGGTGAGAAGGCCAGGGAATTGAGGTGAAAGTTCAGGGAGGGTAAAGGTGGGGAGTCTGGTGAAAACGAGGTTGAAAATGCTGAGTTTTTTAAAATCCTGGTTTGAAGGCAAGGTTAAAAATTCAGGGGAAATGAGGTCGAAAAGTCAGGTTGAACTGGGGTCAAAAATTCAGGGGGCACAAGGTCAAAAATCCAGGTGAAACTGGGGTCAAAAATTCTGGGGAAACGAGGTCAAAAATCCTGGAAATTAGGGTCAAAAATCCAAGGGAAATGGGGTCAAAAACCCAGGTAAAACTGGGGTCAGAAATTCAGGGGAAACGAGGTCAAAAATCCAGATCCAAGTGAAACTGGGGTCAAAAATTCAGGGAAATTAAGGTCAAAAACCCAGGTAAAACTGAGGTCAAAAATTCTGGGGAAACAAGGTCAAAAATCCTGGAAATTAAGGTCAAAAATCCAGGGGAAATGAGGTCAAAAACCCAGGTAAAACTGGGGTCAGAAATTCAGGGGAAACAAGGTCAAAAATCCTGGAAATTAAGGTCAAAAATCCAGGGGAAATAAGGTAAAAAATCCAAATAAAACTGGGGTAAAAAATTAAGAGGAAATGAGGTCAAAAATCCAGGTAAAACTAGGGTCAAGAATTCGAGAAAATAAGGTCAAAAATCCAGGGAAATTAAGGTAAAAAATCCAGGTAAAACTGGGGTCAAAAATCCAGGGAAATTAAGGTCAGAAATCCAGGGAAATTAAGGTCAAAAAGAGATTTTTCTTCATCTGGAATGATGTGGGATATTAGGAATAAATCTCAGGTTGATTTTGGAGCGGTGTTTTTTGGGAAGAAATGAGGGATTCCATTCCTACAACCAGCAATTTTCCCTTTCAGCAGGGATTTGGGAATTTTCCCTTCCCAAATTCTTCTGGGAATGAATGAATTCATTGGGAAGAACGAATTCATTGGAATCACCTTGAAAATGTCGCTGTTGCAGGGTTCTGGTTGATTATTAGGATCAAAAAGAAATCAATGTATCTACACATAATTGGCTTTGTTTTTTCTCTGAGATATTTCAGATATTCACCATTAATGGAGGTGCAGGGAGAATTGCCCCAAATCCTCCGTTCCTAAACACACAAAAACCAGAGATTTCAGCAAAAATGGGAGGAAAAGGAAGGATTTGGGACTCACCAGAGGTCGGGGTTATCTGCACTGTTGTCAATGCTGAATTGCTCAATTTCTGGTCCTACCTGAGCCACAAACTTGGCGAGTTTCTCTGCAGTTTCCATGGTTTTGGCATCCACTGCAAGGAAAATAAATGTTCTGTTAGGAAAGGTCAGTGCAGCTGAGAACCACTCACTTCATAAACAGAGAATAAATGAAATCATGTTTGGGGTTTTCCAGCAGAAATCCTTTTTTTGTGGATTGCAGAAGTTTGATTTTCCTGGACACAATTTAAAATTTCAAACCTAACTGGGGTTTCCAGCAGAAATTCTTTTTGTGGATAAGTGCACAGCAGGAAAAGTTTGATTTTTCTGGACACAATTTAAAATAACAAACCTAACTGGGTTCTCCAGCAGAAATTCTTCTTGCGGATTGCAGAAGTTTAATTTTCCTGAACACAATTTAAAATAAAAAAATCTAACTGAGTTTTCCAGCAGGAATTCTTTTTGTGGATTGCAGAAGTTTGGTTTTCCTGGACACAATTAAAAATTTCAAATCTAATTGTGGTTTCCAGCAGAAATTCTTTTTTGTGGATTGCAGAAGTTTAATTTTCCTGAACACAATTTAAAATAAAAAAATCTAACTGAGTTTTCCAGCAGGAATTCTTTTTGTGGACAACCGCACAGCAGGAGAAATTTGATTTTCCTGGACACAATTTAAACCTTCAAACCCAACCCCACATTTCCTTTTTCCCCTGATTGCATCCCTAACCCCAAATCTAACCCCAAACCCTCACTCACCATCGGGAAACTGAGAGCCCAGGGCTGGGAGAAGCTCTGGTGATGCCGAGAATTCCTCGGGATGTGTTTTTTGCTCCGCAGGCACCGGGATCTCGGAGCTGCTGGCGCCTGGGGCGGCCGAGGTGACGTCCAGGGCAGGGATCTGCTGGGGATCTGCCAGGGAAACCTTCCCCTGCCCTGAACCTGGAAGATTTTTGTCCTGGTGCTTCAGCACCGTCCCAGCTGACAGCACAGTCTGAGTGCCCGTGGTTGTTCTCCTCACCTTCCTGGCTCTGCTGGCGCGGAGAGGGAGAATTCCAGGTTTTTTTTTCCTTTTGAAAAGCTTCCTTTTGATGCTGGCGACTCTCCTGGCATAAAGCATGGCCCGGAGGGACTCTGGGGCAGCTCCTTCCCCAGCCAGGCTCCTCCTCTGCACCTCTGACAGCCTCAGCCTGTAATATTTGTACTCCAGGCTCTCCTCGTCGGACAGGAACCTGAAAAACACAGAAAAGAAAGGAAAGATCGGCTGAAAAATCTTCATTTTTTTTAAAGTAAAAGCCCCTCAGCGATCCAGTTTTGGGTTTTTTTTTCTTTACCCCAGGTGTTTAGCACGAGGCAAAGCAGGTTTTTCTGGGAATAACAAGCAGCAAGGAAAGTGTGCCAAGGAAATAAATAATTGAGAGGTTTGACGGGAATCGTTTGGGTAATTAATCAGCTCACGCACCAAGAGGTGCTGTCACACACCTGGAGATGTCTCAGCTCCCCCTTTCCCAAGGTTTTCCCTGGAATTCGAAATCCTGTTACCTTGCTGGATGTCTCCACCACCTGAATTTGCTCCTAAAATGCAAATTGCTTTTAACAACTTGGATTTGGATCGACAAAGAGCCATTATTGGCACATCAAAAGCAGCAACACAAACACCAGGATCACTTCCAGGGACAGCAGGGATAATTAGCTCCAGGAAAACATTCCCCCCACCACCCCCCAATAAAAAAAAAAAAACAAAAAAAGATGATTAAATACACAACAGGCTTTGATCTTTCCCACTGAGTGAAAGGCTGAAGTTTTAATTACAGCCACTCCAAATATCTCACCCAGTTCCCACACACCCACCAAAATTCGGGAGAGTTCTTCTGAGCGTTCCTGTCTTTGGCAGACAAAGTTCCTGACACGATGCTGGTCACCAGCTGCTCAATTGTGTCCAAAACTTTCCTGTCAGCTCGCTGGGGGGCTGTGGGGAGAAATAAAAAACAATCAAAACCCCATTTTATTCTCATCAGCGGAGCAGCGAGATGTTGGAATTTTTATTTGTTTTATTTGTTTCTGTATTTTCACAGTTTGGTATTTGCAGTTTTCCCAGGTGTTTGCTGGGAACAGAACCCCAGGATGGGTGGGATGGGATATTTGGAGATCCCAAATCCAAGCTGGAGCAGGTGACACAGAAATGGGGTTGGGATGTCCCCAAATGAGGGTTCAGGTTCCATCCCAGAGCTTTGCCACTTCCATGGGAAAAAAAAAAAAAATCTTCCTGAAATGGAGGTGGAACTCGTTGTGCTTTGGTTTCCCTTGTCCTGGCACTGGGAAGAGCCTGGCACCACCTTCAGGACACTTTTTGGGGATATTTGTGTGGATTTTGGGATCCCCTCTCAGCCTTTCCTTCTCCAGACCCCAGATAATTTCTGGAGCCTCTCCTGGTGCTCCTGGAGCCCAGAACTGGACATTCCAGAGGGAGAGGAGCAGGATCCCCACCCTGAAAATTCCCCTTCCTGCTGGAAATGCTCTTCCCAAGGCACCCACACTTTTCCAGTGCATCCATCCCAAACTAAAACAAATCAGGGAAAACGCGAAATTTTAACTGAGATCTTGCACCTGCTCATTATTAGAAACACCCTGGACTAAAAAATACATCCATGGCCATGCTGGGGAAGTGAAATCATCCTTAAAAAGGCAATTTCTTCCTGCATCAAAAGGATTTTGTGGAAAATCAGCTTATTTGAACGCTGCTCCAAATGGCTGAGTGACAAATTTCCAAGCATTCACCCCAAAACCCCCCTGAGAAAGAACCTGAGGCTCGGTTAGGGAAAAAACATGATGAATTAGGAAAAATCCAGGATGTTTTAGGCAGGAGGAATCACTGGCCCAACTCAGTGATGGGATATGAAGGAATGGAGATGATTAAAGCGGTGATGGTGATGCCTCCATATTTGCATACATGCAAATATTTCCTCTGTAATCAAGCCAGTCCCAGGTTGGTCCCTGCCTTGAGGTGAAAATCTTGGATTTAAGGTTTAAACAGGTGCCAGAAAGAGAAGGAAGGACATGATTTCACCACAAGAACTCCAACAGACTCCCTGCTCCAGACATGGGTGGGATCCACCTGGAATTCCCTCCGTGTCCCAGCCATGAGTGGGATCCACCTGGAATTCCCTCCCTGCTCCAGCCCTGGCTGGGATTTAGGATTTACCTGGAATTCCCTCCCTGCCTCACCTCTGATTTGGATTCTCCTGGAATTCCCTCCCTACTCCAGCCCTGGCTGGGATTCAGCTGGAATTCCCAGAGTCAGGAATTCCTGACCTAAGGATGAAGCACATCCTGCAGAGCACCTCCCTCCCCTCTCCCTCCCTGTTACCTTTGGTGTCGGGCGAGGCTGCTTTGAGCTGCTCCGTGGATTCCGCCTCCGCTCTCTTCATCTGGATGGGGTATCCGCTCTTCTCCAGCCAAGCCTTCAAATTCTCAATGTACTCCCTCCCAAACAGCGTGGAATCATCGAAATTCGGGAAGGACGTCGGCGCCGGAGCCATCTCCTGGAGCCCCACAGCCTCCAGGATTTTCTCCTGCCTGAAAACAGAAGCCAGAGCAAAGGTCTGGCCCAGCAGAGCCAGGGATTTTCGGCAGAGGGACACGGTGGTCTCGAAGGCGTTGGCCATTTCCCTGGGGTTGCCAAAGCCGTTGGTTTTAATGCTCAGCTCGTAGGCGTTGCAGGCCATCAGCAGCGGCGTCACCCCCTTGAGGAGGCGGTCCTGGAGCCTCATGATGTATTTATCGAAAGGTTTGATGATCTCGAAGAAGCAATTCTTGGTTTTCACCGCCCCCTTGTCCAGCAGCATGTTCAAAAACTCGTTGTCCACCTTGGGGGTTTTCAGGGCGGCGTGCTGCAAGCTCTTGATGGTGAAGAAGCAATAATCTCTGTGCTCTGGCCTCAGGGAGCACTTGAAGGAGGCCAACATTTTGGCACAGGTCTCAGTCTCCAGCTCGAAGAGGGCCCCGAAGAGCCGCGAGAACTCGGCGTCGTTCTTGACGGCGTGGAACCCGGCCCACTTGATGATCTCGATGCCGAAGGTGGAGAAAATGTCAGATTTATCCACCAGGTCGAAGTTGAGGTTCCTGAAGACGTGGGCGGGCTTTGGCAGCCTGAGGATGGGTCTCTGGGCTGCCAGAGGGTGTGGGGGCAGCTTGGGGTTGGGGCGCTGCTGGAGGGGCACCGGCCTCTGGTTGGGGCGCTCGGCGACTTCCAGAGGCTGATCCAGAGCTTTGGGATCCAGGCCCGGTTTCTTCACGTTCCACTTCTTCAGGGGGCTTTTGACGTCTCCTTTGAACACTTTGGGTTTCACCACCCCCCTGGTGAGGCGCTTCCCCCGCAGGACTCTCCCCCTGCCCACGGCTCCCCTGCGCAGCGGCGGCCGGAACTCGCTGTCCGGCGCCCCGAACTCCGCCTCGTATTCCTGATTTTCCACGCCGCCGTACTCCTCCTCCATCAGCCCGGGAGACCTGAAATCCCCTAAAATATCCGAGGAGCCAAACTCGGCTTCGTGCGGCCCGCTGCCTTCCCAGGAATCCGAGGGGCCGTAATCCTGCCCGTAATCCCTCTCCCGCCCGTATTCCCGGTTCTGCTGTCCATACTCCCGGTTGTGAGGAGCGGGGTGGTGCCCGTATTCCCTGTTTGGGGCAGCTGCACGCCCAAATTCCCGGTTTTGGGGAGCGGGGCGCCCGTAATCCCGGCCGAATTCCCGCTCCCGGGGCGCGGGGCGGGCGAATTGTTCGTGGAAATAATTCTCCTTGCGGAGCAGGGGGCTGGCGGGTCTGTAGGAAGGGCCGGGATAGTTTTCCCCGGGATAATCTTCCCTGGGATAATCTTCCCTGGGATCCTCGCTCCAGTCCTCGTGTTGGGAGTTGGCGTGAGGGAACCTCCCGTCGCCGTGGAAGCGGGGCCGGGGCAGCGGCCTGGAGTGAGCTGGGAAAACCAAACATTTAGAGGTTTAAAAGAGTCAAAATGTCGAAATTTCTGAAGGAAATCCACGTATCTGACTTCAGGATATTCCCATTCCCATATTCCAATCCCCACATGCATTGAGGAGCTCAACTTCTCCCCTAAATCAAATTTTTCTTTGCTCAAGTCTTGATCTTCCACTGGCGTTCCTGAGGCATAAAAACCATCAAAACTCTGAATTTTCAGCTTTCCCAGAATTCAAATTGTCAAAAACCACCAGGACCACCAACTCCAAGCTTTGGCCAATCCTCACCTCGTCACCCAGACCAGAATTCCCAGGAAGAATTCCACAGCTGGACAGAAACTCGTATCTTCTACAAACTCAACTACAATTATCTCATTATAATTCTAGTGTTTCTCATTATCCAAGATCCTCGTTCCCCAATCCCAGAAGTTTAATTCAGAAAGTAAAGAATGGAAGTGTGTAATATGAATTATTTCTTCAGGGCTCATACAACTCTGAAAATAACAGATTGCATTTTAAAGCTCTCCTATGAACGTCCATCCCTGTGAATGTAATCCAAGTGTCTCGCTGGACATTTTATATCCCAAATTTAAGAGGTAAAATAATTTGGGGACCACGTTTTGCGTTATGTTCATGAGGTCAATGCCCTGCTTTGAGCTTTTTTTCCCCCAAAATAACACCAAACACAAAGACCCAAAGGCTTCCAATGCACTCCTACATTTATTTAACTTATCAGCCATCACCAGAATTCCATCCTGCAGCAACATCCCTGGAGACCTGGCTGAAATTGGACCCACTCTCTGATGCTGAACAGCATTCCTTTGTCTGAATTCCCATTTTTTTCCCCCCTTTACGGTGTCAGTCCTTCCCCAGCTGTTCGCCTCTTCCATAAAAATGGATGTGGAAAAACACCAGCACAAGGCAAATAAATGGCAGGCGACGCGAGGCTGCCGCCGACATCCCGCTCCTCCCTACCTTTGAAATGATGGATGGAGCCCCCCGCGGCATCGCTCCGCTCCATGCGGTACCGTTTAACTTTGTCCTGCACCACGGCCTCGAACGTCTCGCGGGTGATCCTCCGAGAGGCCATCTTCCCCTCACGACGCCCGGGGCACGGCACGGCACGGCCTGGCGCGGGCCCGGGGTCCCGCCGCGGCCTGAGGGGAGGCGCAGCCTGAGGGGAGCCTCACGCTTCCCCGCCGCCGCCCGCGCAGCGCCGGGAGGAGGAGCCCGAGCCCGAGCCCGAGCCCGGACCGCCCCCACCGAGGCGGCCCCGGCCCCGCCGCCTCCCGCCACACCGGGGCCTCCCGGTGGCCACGCCCTCCTCGCCGGTAGCCACGCCCCTCCCGCCGCTCCCGGGCCTCACGGAGACCGCGGCTGGTCACGCCCACTCTTAGGCCACGCCCCCAAACCGAGCTAATCACCCCCGCCCTCACATTGGCCGCGCCCCACGCGCCTTAACCACGCCCCCCGGGCCCCGCCGCGCCTGCGCTGCGCGGAGCCGCCTCATCCCCTGCAGGCGGGCGGAGCGGGCGCGGCGCGGCGCGGTACTAACGGTGCGGGAGCGCTGCCGGTAAGCGGGACGGGAGCGAGGGGAGCGGCCCGCGGCGTCCCGCTCGGAGGGAGCAGCCGCTGCCCTGAGGGCGCGCCCGGGCACGCTGCGCGTACTGCGCGTGCGTGGGAGTGGCCGGGCGCGGGAGCGGTGCGCATGCGCGCTGCGGCGCCCCGCGCTCTTTTTCGTTCGGCGTGAGAGCGAGCGGCGCGAATTTGGGCAGCGGCGCATGCGCACGCGGGCGGGGCTCGCCTACGGCGGCCGAGTGGAGCCGTTCCGCCCTCGCCTTTTGTCCGGCCGGGGCGGCCGGCGGGAGCCCAGGTGGGTTGTGAGGGGGAGCGGGACCGTGGGTGCTCCCCGGAGCTCCCGCAGCACCGCCGCCTTCCTTCGGGGCCCTCTTCTCGCCGCTGGGAGCTGCGGGGTGCGGTCCCGCAGGCTGGCGGGGCCTGATGAGGGGGTGTGGGATGCGCCGGGGCCCGGGGGAAGCGGGGCAGGACGGGCTGAGGGCCCAGGGCCGTTACCGGGCAGTGAGAGCCCTGTCACGGTGGTAGATCCTGAAACCCCATCGAAATCCTGTAATGCTGCTGAAATGTCTCCTTATCCCTCTGAATTTCCGTATTTTCTCCATGAAGTAAAAAGCCGGCCATGCCTTTGTCTGTATGTTTTTGATTCAGAGCTCTGAGCTTTTGTCTTGAGGAGGAACGAGCCCCTTGCTTTGTTTCTGGTCGGCACGAGAAGGTTTTGCACCAAAATTAGCTGCGGTCTCTCTGAACAGCAGGACACGGCGGAGCATCCATCCCATCCCGGGAAAATGGGGTCCAAACAGATCGCCCAGGAAACGTTTGACGATGCGGTGCAGGAGAACATCACCGAGTTTGAGATGGATCCAGAGGAGGCCGTGAGAGAAGCCGTGCAGCAGTTCGAGTCCCAAGGTATTGGACGTGTTCTGCAGCTCGGGTTGTTACAGGCTGGGGTTTTACAAATCCCAAGGTTTAAAAGAGTCCTGCGGCATTGGAAAGGAGCCTTTGTGAGGTGGAACAGGGACACCGTTAATGCTGACCTGGTTTTGTGGATTAATTATGACTGAAAAACTGCTTAGAGGGAAGCTGGAGGGCAAAATTTGGTCAGTGAAATGAAATTCCTTCTCTTTTTATTCCTCAACTGACATCAGGCTTTGTTCCAGGCTGAATTTGACCTTACAGTCAGAATTGAACATTTCAGCGTCTTCACAACAATTTCATCTTTGTTCTCTGTGGTTAACTTGGCAGCTTTTCCCTAGAACTGGGACTAATACTGTTTATTTGACTCTAATTGTCCTGGAACCAATATTAAACTCGGTTTTATTTCCCCTTTTAGGCGTGGACCTGAGCAATATTGTGAAAGCTGTGCGACCTCCTGCCTCTGAGAACGGGCAGAGGCAAAAGCATCAAATCCTGCTGGTAGGAGCACAAATTGGTGCTGTCTCCTAAGGATCAGGGTTATATAACAGCAATACAAGTACTAGGCCAGCTTCTGCCCCTGCCCCATTTCTCTGGGAGCTCTTCAAGCAGTTAATCCCATTTATTCTGCAAATATAAAAATTCCAAGAGCTCCTTGCACTTTTCAGGGAGGGAATCTGTGTAAGGGAGGGAGGGAACGGCCTCAAGGCGTGCCAGGGGAGGCTCGGCTGGGCCATCAGGAGGGATTTCCTCATGGAAAAGGTGCTCAGGGGCTGCCCAGGGGAGGTTTGGGGTCTCCATCCGTGGAGGGAATGACAGGATGTGGCACTCAGGGCTCTGGTGACAAGGTGGGGATCAGTTCCACTCATCCCAGGTTGCTGCATGCCCTTGTCCAACCTGGCTGTGGACACTTGCAGAGCTGGAATGTGCTGGCTGGACCCAGTTCAGCTGGTACTGGTCAGACTGGTGCCCAGTGGAGGAGCGACAGTGGTGGCACAGGGTCCCCCCTGCCCCTCCGAGGGTTCCACCAAACCCAAACGCCGCTCTCCGGCACTCCCATAACACCAAACAGGTTTTCAGCTGAAAAATAAACAGATTGCTGTCACTCCTGCACAGCCGAGGTGCAGAACTAACCCTTGGTGTGTCCCTCAGACCCTGGACTCCCTGGGCAGAGCCGTGGCCGAGCCGGACGTGGCCGAGCTGCCCGAGCAGCTCTCGGCGCTGGCGGCGCAGTGCAAGGAGCAGCTGGCGTTCCGCTACCTGGCCGGCCAGAACGGCGCCTACCCCGTGGTGTTCTCAGCCTGCCAGCTGGCTGCAGGAGACAGGGATTTATTGCTCCAAGCCTTCTCCACGCTCTCCGCCCTGCTGGATGGGCAGCCAGACCTGCTGGATGCCGCCGGGCAGGAGTTGCTGCTGCAGAGCCTGCGGGAGCGGCGGGAGGACGCGGAGATGACGCTGGCCGGGATCCGCTGCGTCCGGCACGCCTGCCTCAAGCACGAGCAGAACAGGCAGGACTTTGTCAAGGGTGGGATCCTCCCTCTGCTCACTGGAGCCATCATCCAGCACGGGGACAGCGCTGACGTGGTCAGGACGGCGGCCTCGGCCCTCAGGGTGATGACGTTCGACGATGACATCCGCGTGCCCTTCGGTCACGCCCACGATCACGCCAAGATGATTGTCCTGGAGAACGATGGCTTGAGGGTCCTCATTGAAGCTGCAAAAGGTAAAATGAACCCCAGGGATGTTGATCCTAATGGGGAATCATTAGGAAACCACCTGGGATTTCTTCTCTCATTGTCTCAGGGAATCACTTGTGATTTCTGCACTCCTGGTCTGGTTTCTTCTCGTTGTCAAAATTTGAGGTGATTCAGGAATTTGTCACTCAAATGTGGTTTAATTCCGTCGATGAAATGTGCCCTGAAAGAGCTAAAAAGTGCCACTGTGTGCTGTTGCTAACCTGTGGAGCAGTCAGATTACCAGAGCAGTTTCTCACTGAATTTAGGAAGTATTTGACAATTTTAGGGGCCTGTTTTCTCTGCTGAGGTGCTTCTTGCCCAGAGAAGACATCGTGACTCTGGCCAGGAGCAGAGTGAGCAGGTGTCACCTCTCCTGCTTTAATATATAAAATGAAATCCACTATTTCCTATTTAATGAATCAAAGCAAACCACCCTTAATTGTGTTAATTAACTCCATCCCTCCTCTCTCCTGCGCAGCCTTCACGGATAACTCGGGGGTTCTCAGCGAGCTCTGTGCCACCCTGTCTCGCCTCTCGGTCAGGAATGAGTTCTGCCAGGAAATTGTGGACCTCGGGGGATTAAATTTCATGGTGACTCTGCTGGCTGACTGCATGGAGCACCCGGTGAGCAACGGGAATGTTTTGGGGATGGATTGGAGGGAGCATCTCACCCTGAGGAATGAGGTTCATTTTAACGAACCTGCACAATATTTTAGGTGTAATTAGGGTTTGAAACCCCTCTGGTCCCTTTTCACAGCCATGAATGCAGAATTAAATGCTCTGCAGGTGAAATTTGTGAGCTTCTTGCTCAGAATTGTTCCTGTGGCCTCCACCCTCCACCAGCAGAGCTCTGCCTGCTCCCAGAAAAGCTGAATGTTTGGTTTTCCACCATTCCAGCCAGAAGAGATTTGGGAGGATTTAGATGCTCAAGTCCCAGAGGTTGATATCTGATTTATTAATGATTTATTTAACGATGGCCTGGCCGAGGTTTTCAAAGTCCCTCGCGCAGCAAGGAAGTGACTGAGTGTGGAGTTTTTACATCTGATAATTGCCAAGGGATGGGGGATGTTGTGATTTGCTTTCCAAACCCTCCAAACTCTCTCTGCTGCTTTCTGAGCTGGTTTTTCTCCCCGGGGCAGGACGTGGTGAAGCAGGTGCTCGGCGCCATCCGCGCCGTGGCCGGCAACGACGACGTCAAGGACGCCATCGTGGACGCCGGGGCCACCGACCTCATCGTGCTGGCCATCAGCCAGCACCTGGCCAACCCTCAGGTAGCCTCCAGGGGCTTGGGAATTCCCTCTGGGATGGGGATGGAGCTCAGCTGGAGCTGCAGGATGTGTGTTCACAGCCGAGCAGCGGATAAACCTTGAGTGCTCGGCTCGATGTTTGTGTGAATTTAGGGCTTTTTCCGCCACGGATTGTTTTGTTTTTCTAATTCCTGAATCTGATGGGTAGTGGGGATAGTGTTTTACACCTCTGGCGTGCAAAACCCAAAATCACAAAGGTTGTTGACCTCTAAAGATCATTATTTTGGCTTACGTGCCAGAGCAGCAGGCGAGAAACCTCAGAACGACAAAAAACAGCTCCAAAACCATCAGGAAAGGGAAGCACCCCCACTTTTATTTCCACGCAAGCCCCGTTTGCAGGCAGTGAGCGTGCTGCCCTGTGTGTTTGCAGATCTGTGAGCAGGGCTGCGCAGCCCTGTGCGTGCTGGCCCTGCGCAAGCCCGAGAACTGCAGCGTCATCATGGAGGGCGGCGGGGCCTTGGCAGCTCTGCAGGCCATGAAGGCTCACCCACGGGAGGTGGCTGTCCAGGTACGTCCCCCACAGCACCTGCTGGGTTGGTTTTGGCTCTGGGAATTCGTTGCTTTGGGGTTTGTTTTTTTTTCTCATCAAATTCTGACAGGTTTTGAGTGCTTTGGGAAGGCGGCGACTCGGTGCGGCCCCCATTGTGTTTGTGAGGCTGATCTGCTCAGGGCAAAACTTAATTTAGGTTTACAAATCCACCTGAATGCGGGTTCTTAAAGCTGTGGAATGCCACAGTCCTCTTCCAGGCATTCCTTTTCCAGCTGGGAGGAGCAGAATGAGGATGGGCTCTCTCCAGCCCAGCCTGTGCCATCCATTCTCCAGAGCCAAATAAACCACCTGCATGGCAAGAAGATTGCCTCTGGTTTCTCCTGCAAGGTTTCAGCAGGTTCTGTGTCCACTTTTGTGCTTTCCAGAGCATTAAAAAAATTGGAAATATTTCCTAAAGGAGTAGTTCAAGTGCCTGGAACAGCATGGGAGGGGTGGGAAGGTGGGGCTGCTGCACTGGAGAATTTTTAGTGTTACTTAAAAATTAATTGGTATTGCCTGGCTGGTGTTGGAGATTTGCACAGAGCTCTGGTTGTCTAAACTTCAGCAGGGAATCCATGAGATCATCCATGGATTTTGTTCCTCCAGGGAACAGTTGGTTGCTCTCTGCAGTGTCTCACATTTGGGTTTCTCTTAAGAAATATTTAAACTTAAGAAATACTTCTCCTTCCTATAAAGGAAATATTCTTTAGCTGATCTGTTTTCTCCCTGCCAAAACCTTTCATGGCTGTGCTTCCCTCAAAATCTACTGATCCCTGTGCTTCCCTCAAACCCAGTGATTCCTGTTTCCTCCCAAATCCACTGATCCCTGTGCTTCCTTCCCAAATCCACTGATCCCTGTTTCCCTCAAAACCCAGGTATTCCTGTTTCTTCCCAAATCTACTGATTCCTGTTCCCTCCCAAATCCACTTATTCCTGTGTTTCCCTTGAAACCCACTGATTCCTGTTTCCTCCCAAATCCACTGATCCTGTGCTTCCCTCCAAATCCACTGATACCTGTGCTTCCCTCCCAACTCCACTGATCCCTGTGCTCCCCTCCCAAATCCACTGATCCCTGTGCTTCCCTCCCTAACCCAGTGATTCCTGTTTCCTCCCAAACCCACTGATCCCTCTGCTTCCCTCACAACCCACTGATTCCTGTTTCCTCCCAAATCCACTGATCCCTGTGCTTCCTTCCCAAATCCACTGATCCTGTGCTTCCCTCCAAATCCACTGATACCTGTGCTTCCCTCCCAAACCCAGTGATTCCTGTGCTTCCTCCCAAATCCACTGATCCCTGTGCTTCCTTCCCAAACCCAGTGATCCAAAACTTTTTGGCCAAACCCACTGATCCCTGTGCTTCCCTCCCAAACCCAGTGATTCCTGTGCTTCTTCCCAAATCCACTGATCCCTGTGCTTCCCTCCCAAACCCACTGATCCCTGTGCTTCCCTCAAAATCCACTGATTCCTGTGCTTCCTTCCCAAATCCACTGATCCCTTTTCTTCCCCCCCAAAACACACA